AAAGAAAAGAATTTACATAACAATGAAAATTAAAGTAGAACTTGGAAAGACTTAAAGGAAAATTTCAGCACAAAGATCTCATTATAACAATTGAAAACTAGAAAGAGAAACTAAGAGAATTTGAGGGAGAGAAGGGAGGGGAGCTCTAGAGAAGTGTTTGAGAGCTCCCCCCTTGGGGTGTGATTTATGAAGCTTGAAGACTTCTCTATTTATAGGGCTAAGAGGGAGGAATATCATGATGAAATCCAACATCACCATTCCTCTTTTAATACAACCCATAACTCTCACTTCATCTTATCTATGTTAATGTGGTTGGAATCAATTGCATCACATACTTCTTTTGCTGCACCTCAAGCTTTCTTCACATGGGATTATCAAAGGTGTTCAATTTGTGGCTGCCTTTTGCTGCCAACCCATGTGGGTTTTCTTCACCTTTGCTGGAAAAAGCGATTCTTCTGAACCAGGCTTGGTGTAGGAAGGCCTGAGGTTTCAATATGTATCCAAGGTGGCTCAAATTTGGATATGTCATAATAGACACCCATTGGAACAACTTGAACGAAGAATGCATTCCCATTTGAGCAGTACAAGTGTATGTTTTGGACCTTGCAAGTTGACTGCCGAAAATAGACTGGAATTGACTTCATTGCAGTCATCTTGTGGGCTTGTTTTGGGCTTGATCTTTCCTCCAAAAAAATCTAGAAAAATCTGAATCTTCAAACCCTTTGAATTATCTTTCCAAGCATATGCAGCCCAGCTCAAGGAAAAATCGGAAAGCCCTTCAAGTGTCATTTTTGGCCCAGTAACGCAGATGCTGCCGAATTTGACCTTAAGTTGCCAAAACTTGTATAACTTTCTCTAGAAGACTCGGAATCATGAACCGTAAAATTCTCCAGAAACTAGACTTCCGCATCTTTCCAATGATGTATGGCTCGTCATCTGGTTCATCCTGAGCAATACAGTCCAATCCGTGAATTTGACAGATTTGCACACACAAATGAGCTAACTTGTCTCCAAAATGCATTTAATGAGTCTCAAGCTTATTACACTGAAACAAACACAAAATTTATTAAAAACACAAGTTTAACTCAAAAACATAACCAAATCATAAGCTAGAAGGGTACGAAATGATATACAATTATGAACCGATCATTGTCTGTCCACTATCTCCTTTTTAGTTTCCAACAGAATTACTATATCTGGTTTGAACCTCCGTAGATGCTCTTTTACCAGTAATATTTTCCTTCTACTTCCCAGACCTCGAATATTCCAACTAATTATCTTCATTACTGAGAAGTATAGTCCCTTATCTTCTCTTTACCTTTTCTGGTGCCCCTCGAACCCGAATCACTGTTGGAAATACAAAGTTTGCCATGTCTTCTATGAGCCAAGTTCTTCTTTAGGGGCATCAATGATAAATCCATTTTGTGCAACAATGATTTAGGTAAGGTGTCTTTGCGTCCTTTACCTCTGCGTTTTCCTCTTTTTCTGGAGTAGTATAGTACTTCTGGAATAGTCTCTGGAACAATAGTTTCATCTTCATAATCCTCTAATCCCATCTGCTCAACTAACTTGGTATTGGCAGGATAACAGCCTTCCGCATACCCATTTGCACCGCTAATAATATCTGGAATGTCAAAAATCTCGTGAAGAATTCCCTCTTCGTTGGCAAAAGCATCTGTATTTTTCTTCTCCTCATTCGAAGATATTTCATCAACGAATTCAGGTTCTGACGATGGTATTTTGACCACTGAATCCACTGATTCCGAGCAGATCGACAAAACAGAGTCATCATCTTCTCTGTCAGCGATCGACTTTGAGGGGAGGGAACTGATCTGCAGCGACTCACCTGCACTTGAGAGTCGATCATGAATGTGAGACAGTCCCTTTCTAAATCCCCTGCTTCCTTCTCCATTTGCTCTGCCGAATCTACAAACAAGATAGAAAACCCACATCTAAGAAATTCACATACCACTGGTGAAGCAGCACTGGAAGCCAGCTCTTTCAACCAACTTGGCACTTAGAGCATCAAAACAAGTAGGGGCTTGATGAACCCCTGGCAAGTCAAGAATTCGGCGGAGCGCTTTGGCCGGAGATTCAGGCGCTGATTCTCTGCCTCTTGAGTAAGCAGCGACGAGTTGAAGGACACCCCTTTTCGCACGAGGCAGAAGGGGTATGGTTTAATTTGTGGGGCAGTGAAAGTGGGCGTTGATGGAGGGACGACCCAAATGTGAGATTTAAAGATGGTGGTATTTTTGTGCCGAGATTGAAAGACGAGGTGTGAGGAAGAGAGACATTGCAGTATCTGCTAAGCACCTGCATATTCATTCTTTCTCCTCTTCAATTCAATGGCTGTGTTCAAATTGATGGAAGGCGTTATGACTTATGACAAATACAAAGACTGAGCTGAGTTCAGTCTCTTCTGTGTTTTGGGAGAAGAAAGTCACACAACTGCTGACTTGGCGACACATTCCACGTACGTCTTGCCTTGTGGCAATGTTCCGCCAATAGTTTTGTTTTAGGGGTGTATTCAATTAAGATTTTAAAACAGTTATCTATATATATAAAGCAAAAGGCAGAGAATGGTGAAACATTCAAAATACCAAAGAATGCCCTTGGTTAATGCAAATATTAAGAATTAAAATTATTAATTAAATGAGAATAATATGGTAAATTCACACTTTTTCATATCAAAAAAATTTAAAATGAAAAGAAAAATCAGATAATGGATCCTCTTTTTATGGAACACAACTACCCATTATCTTTTTTAATTCTAAAATAAATTTAATTTTTTTTAAAAAAAGCCTCTCGCAAGCGCGTGCAGAGAGGCTAGTATGGAGTTATAAAGTTTATAGAGTTCAACATATTTCAATTGATTTCTATAAACTCCACATAGAGTTTGATTGAATTCTTAGATTGATTTTAATGGTGTTTGTTAGAGTTTTATCATAGATTTTAAAAGAGTTTATTAGAGTTCTAAAATGTTTTTTTTTGGGGGGGTGTATTCAATTAAGATTTTAAAAGAGTTAAATGGAGTTATAAAGTTTATAGATTTCAATGTAGTTCAATTGATTTCTATCAACTCCACATAGAGTTTGATTGAATTCCTAGATTGATTTTGATAGTGTTTGTTAGAGTTTTATCGTAGATTTTAAAAGAGTTGATTAGAGTTCTAAAATATTTTTTTTCTTTTTTTTCTTTTTTTTGGGCTGTTAATTGTTTTTCCAGATTTTCAAAAGAAAAAATTACCTTTACAAAAACATTTTGTAAAGAACTTCCAAATCAATACATCCAAAGAAAATTAAAAAAAGGGCATCTAATTTTGTTCAAATGTGCAGTAATTTCATGACAAAAAAAATGATAAGTAAACTATAATTCTAACTGCATAAAAACGAATAAGTATCTGTTTCATTGCTCATCTTTGACTCCCGTCATTCATAGCATCTCTCCACATATCTGAAGATATCCCAACCCTCCATTGGTTAGCATTCTCGCGTTGTTGTTCTTGGGTTTGAAAAGCGTGGTCATAATTATTTCCCTCATTTTCTGGTAACGATGACGATGTTGAATGCTCGTTGTCTTCTTCAATAGGAAATTTATCAGAACGACACTCCTTGCGGAGAAAATTGTGCAACCCTGCACAAGCCAAGACTAACTCTGCTTGTGTCTTATATGGAAATGAAGGGGCAGACTTAAAAATTGTGAATCGTGATTTAAATATACTAAATATTCTCTCGATTACGTTTCTTAAGGAAGCATGTCTAAGATTGAACAACTCAGCTGCATTTTCAGGATCACGACCTTGACCAACAAAATCCTGAAGATGATATCGAACACCTCGAAATGGAGCTAAAAATTGACGCCGAGTTGGGAATCCACAATCCACTAAAAATCTAACAGCATATTGCTCTCTTTCGATGTCCATGGGTTATAAGGTGTTTTTCCTTTTCCTTGTTGTGAATCTCTCATTTATAATGTTACTAGATAATACATGCAATCTTTAATTAGTTCATAAGAAAAAAAATTATATATGAAGATGATTTTTTCCTTTTTGTTTTGGCATGGACTAGATATACATAGATATTGTACCCAAAAAAAAAAAAGATGACTATAGATCGATGACGAAGCTATCATCTATATATGATATGATGCATAGAAACAAAAAAAAAAAAAAAAAAAAAAAAA